CCTGCCGACGATCCATGCTGGGTTTAACCAGGCTGGGTTTAACCAGGCTGGATTGTTTGAGGAGCTCCCAAATCCTTGAGAGATCTGGACACAGTCCCATCGGTGAGCTCCTCCGACAGGCGAGGGTGCGTTGGCTGGGTTACATAGCCCGCATGTTCAGCCACCGCATGCCCAAGCAGCTTCTGTTTGGCCGAATAGAGGGGCCTAAACGGGCACAGCACGGGCTGCATAGCTGAGTGGACTTGCCGACGACTGGTACCAGCGGTGTCAAGATCGGCCTCTGTGGAGGAGGCTCGTAAAGGACGCTGCTGCTGCTCCTGGGCAGTTGGAGGCAGTCGCCCTCCAACAACAACGGAGGGCCGAGGAGCGACGCTCACAACAACGAGCGGAGCGCCGGGTGGCTAAAACGCAGCAAGTTAGCACAGTTGGAGTCACAGCTGGTGCATCTATCAGTCATCTCAGTCAGTCAACGGATGGCACCTGAGTCTGTCACGTGACCACCTGCCAGCATCCCTTCAACGCGTCACGTGGCCTTAAAGGGCACGTAGCCTGGCACAAGCGCCGTGGTGACGTCACCGCCACTTAGTAGCGAATGTTGTTGTGTGCTCAGGTGTCTGCCTGTGTTCACCTGTGTGTGTGTGATTGTGTTCCGTGTGTGTGTGTGTTCACCTGTGTGTGTGTTCACCTGTGTGTGTGTGAGATGCAGTGAGTCGGTGACCTCATTCTGAGAAGGGCTGGGAATGTTCGAGCGGCCCGAAGGGTGGGGGGGAGTCGGGGGAAGGGAGGGGGGGAGTCGGGGGAAGGGAGGGGTAGTGGGGAATGGGGGGATAAAACCCGAGAGCCACAGGGAGGGAGAGAGGAGCGATCGAGAACGACTGCAGTGGGACTTGAGTGAGAAGTGGTGGTGAAGGGGAGGGGTGCTGGACGTGGTGGTGCTGGTGAAGAGCGGTGGTGCAACGGTTAGCGCGCTGCGCTACGAACCTGGAGAGCCGAGTTCGATTCCCGCTCACGACCAACATCGGTGACGATTATGTGAATCGGCCCTGAGCCTTTCCTAGGTCGAGCCAGCCTCAAATGAGTACCTGGTGAGATGCGTCAACATCGTCACCGGGGATACAAAGGCGGTGGGGCGTGGTGCTGGCCACAAACCCCCTCGTTTGCCGTGGCGTCCTTCATAGGCGCTGCTCACTAACAACACTTGCCCCGACAGTCTGTTACAGGCTGGTGGTAATGCTTGTGGAGGTTCTGGTGGTGGTGGATGTTGTAGGGGAGATCGTGGAGGTGGTGGACGTAGTGGGGGTGCTGGTGGTGGAGGTTGTGGTTCTGGTTGTGGATGTTAGGGGTTGTGGTGGTGGATGTGGTGGTGATGGAGGTGGTGGCCGCTCTTGTTGTTGTTCGGGGCCTGACTGGCCCCACTCACCGGCGTGGAGCATGGCCCGTGATGGTGATGACTCACGTGATGGTGATGATGGTGATGACTCTCGTGATGGTGATGACTCACGTGATGACTCTCGTGATGGTGATGACTCACGTGATGACTCTCGTGATGATGACTCACGTGATGATGATGACTCTCGTGATGGTGATGACTCACGTGATGGTGATGATGATGACTCTCGTGATGGTGATGACTCACGTGATGGTGATGATGATGACTCTCGTGATGGTGATAACTCTCGTGATGATGATGACTCTCGTGATGATGACTCTCCTGATGGTGATGATGATGGTGATGACTCTCGTGATGATGATGACTCTCGTGATGGTGATGACTCACGTGATGGTGATGATGATGACTCTCGTGATGGTGATGACTCTCGTGATGGTGATGGTGATGACTCTCGTGATGGTGATGACTCTCGTGATGGTGATGATGATGACTCTCGTGATGGTGATGACTCTCGTGATGGTGATGGTGATGACTCTCGTGATGATGATGATGACTCTCGTGATGATGATGACTCTCGTGATGGTGATGACTCTCGTGATGGTGATGACTCGTGATGATGATGATGACTCTCGTGATGGTGATGACTCTCGTGATGGTGATGATGATGACTCTCGTGATGGTGATGACTCGTGATGATGATGATGATGATGACTCTCGTGATGGTGATGACTCACGTGATGGTGATGATGATGACTCTCGTCATGGTGATGACTCTCGTGATGGTGATGACTCTCGTGATAGTGATGATGATGATGACTCTCGTGATGGTGATGACTCTCGTGATAGTGATGATGATGACTCTCGTGATGATGATGACTCTCGTGATGATGATGACTCTCGTGATGATGATGATGACTCTCGTGATGGTGATGATGATGACTCTCGTGATGGTGATGATGATGATGACTCTCGTGATGATGATGACTCTCGTGATGGTGATGATGATGACTCTCGTGATGATGATGACTCTCGTGATGATGATGACTCTCGTGATAGTGATGATGATGACTCTCGTGATGGTGATGACTCTCCTGATGGTGATGACTCTCGTGATGGTGATGGTGATGACTCTCGTGATGATGATGATGACTCTCGTGATGGTGATGACTCACGTGATGGTGATGATGATGACTCTCGTGATGGTGATGACTCGTGATGATGATGATGACTCTCGTGATGATGATGACTCTCGTGATGGTGATGATGATGACTCTCGTGATGGTGATGATGATGACTCTCGTGATGGTGATGATGATGACTCTCGTAATGGTGATGACTCTCGTGATGATGATGACTCTCGTGATGATGATGATGACTCTCGTGATGATGATGATGATGACTCTCGTGATGATGATGACTCTCGTGATAGTGATGATGATGACTCTCGTGATAGTGATGACTCTCGTGATGGTGATGATGATTACTCTCGTGATGGTGATGACTCTCGTGATGGTGATGATGATGACTCTCGTGATGATGATGACTCTCGTGATGATGATGACTCTCGTGATAGTGATGATGATGACTCTCGTGATGATGACTCTCGTGATAGTGATGATGACTCTCGTGATGGTGATGACTCTCGTGATGGTGATGACTCTCGTGATGGTGATGATGATGACTCTCGTGATGATGATGACTCTCGTGATGATGACTCTCGTGATGGTGATGATGAAAGACTCTCGTGATGATGATGACTCTTGTGATGATGATGACTCTCGTGATGATGATGACTCTCGTGATAGTGATGATGATGACTCGTGATGATGATGATGACTCTCGTGATGGTGATGACTCACGTGATGGTGATGATGATGACTCTCGTCATGGTGATGACTCTCGTGATGGTGATGACTCTCGTGATAGTGATGATGATGATGACTCTCGTGATGGTGATGACTCTCGTGATAGTGATGATGATGACTCTCGTGATGATGATGACTCTCGTGATGATGATGACTCTCGTGATGATGATGATGATGACTCTCGTGATGGTGATGATGATGACTCTCGTGATGGTGATGATGATGATGACTCTCGTGATGATGATGACTCTCGTGATGGTGATGATGATGACTCTCGTAATGATGATGACTCTCGTGATGATGATGACTCTCGTGATAGTGATGATGATGACTCTCGTGATGGTGATGACTCTCCTGATGGTGATGACTCTCGTGATGGTGATGGTGATGACTCTCGTGATGATGATGATGATGACTCTCGTGATGGTGATGACTCTCGTGATGGTGATGACTCACGTGATGGTGATGATGATGACTCTCGTGATGGTGATGACTCGTGATGATGATGATGACTCTCGTGATGATGATGACTCTCGTGATGGTAATGATGATGACTCTCGTGATGGTGATGATGATGACTCTCGTGATGGTGATGATGATGACTCTCGTAATGGTGATGACTCTCGTGATGATGATGACTCTCGTGATGATGATGATGATGACTCTCGTGATGATGATGATGACTCTCGTGATGATGATGACTCTCGTGATAGTGATGATGATGACTCTCGTGATGGTGATGACTCTCCTGATGGTGATGACTCTCGTGATGGTGATGATGATGACTCTCGTGATGATGATGACTCTCGTGATGATGATGACTCTCGTGATAGTGATGATGATGACTCTCGTGATGATGACTCTCGTGATAGTGATGATGACTCTCGTGATGGTGATGACTCTCGTGATGGTGATGACTCTCGTGATGGTGATGATGATGACTCTCGTGATGATGATGACTCTCGTGATGATGACTCTCGTGATGGTGATGATGAAAGACTCTCGTGATGATGATGACTCTTGTGATGATGATGACTCTCGTGATGATGATGACTCTCGTGATAGTGATGATGATGACTCTCGTGATGGTGATGACTCTCGTGATGATGATGACTCTCGTGGTGGTGATGATGATGACTCTCGTGATGGTGATGATGATGACTCTCGTGATGGTGATGATGATGACTCTCGTGATGGTGATGACTCTCGTGATGATGATGACTCTCGTGTTGGTGATGATGATGATGACTCTCGTGATGGTGATGATGATGGTGACTCTCGTGATGGTGATGACTCTCGTGATGGTGGTTTCATGATAAAAAATATCATCGTCAACATCATAACCATGACTCAATATATGCAACGAGTCATCGTCCAATAAACCGATTACATCCTGCTCCCCCCCTCCTCATCCTTACCATCATCACAGTCAGTAATGACTGAACAAGAACACGAACCCATCACATCCAACTTAGCGTCTCCGCCAGGCTGGCCAACACAGGTTGGTGAGGGGGAGAATCAGCAGATGATTATGTATTCTCGCTGGAGGAATCCGATGAGCTACGAAGCTCTTTTTGTTCACAGATTATTGGAGGAGCAGCAATTACCCCCCCCCCCATCTGTCCGTGTCTCCACAGAAGCCGATTGGCCCCCCGCTGTGACCGTGGCGCTGCCGTTGTTGAATCCTCGCGCAGAGAGGAGGAGGAGGAGGAGAGCGCACGGAACTGGGAACCTGCGGTGAGGGGGAGGCGTGGGTGGGTCGAGAGGGGTGCAAGGGGAGGGGTCTCACCTCGCTCCCCGACTGCCCGGCGTGGCAAGTAGACTCCACGAGAGAGCGGGGGAGAGTGAGAGAGAGCGAGTTAGAGAGCGAGCGTGGGAGACTCTCTCACACCCAACCGCCATGGCTTCTCGCAAGACTCACTGAAGACACGCGCACTTAGAGCAAAAATCTCACACTGGGGCGCCTTCCGAACCTCGACCATCAGTCATCTGAGATATCATCGACCCCGACCAATCACCTCGACCATCAGTCATCTGAGATATCATCGACCCAGACCAATCACCTCGACCATCAGTCATCTGAGATATCATCGACCCCGACCAATCACCTCGACCATCAGTCATCTGAGATATCATCGACCCCGACCAATCACCTCGACCATCAATCATCTCGAGGGGGCCTTCCTCTGCCCCTCCGCAGACGAGCGAGGACCCCTCGCCGACTCCGCCGTCCACCCCCCGCCCGCAGCCCTCCCTTCCTGCCGCCTGTTGCCGGCCGCCGAACGTTTGGCAACTTTGGGTCCTTGGCGGCAATTCATCGTGCGGGAATTACGCCGACATCGTCATGTGGACCAACATCAACAACAACGTCAACAACAACGTCAACAACAACGTCAACAACAACAAGGACAACAACAGCAGCAGCCGTGCCCGTCGCTGGCTGTGGCGGGGCTCGGCTATGGGGGTCGCGGGGCTGTTCGTGATGGCAGCCGCAGGAGTCCTCCTCCAGGGGTCTCTGGCCGAGGGGCCCGGACCACAGGGGCTGGAGCTCAGAGGAGCCCCCCTCGAGTTTCGGGTTCGAGGAGGAGGTGGTGGAGGTGATGGTCGAGGCGGTGGTGGTGGAGGAGGTGATGGAGGAGGAGATGGAGGAGCAGGTGGTGGCGGTGCCGTCTTACGGCGAGCGAGGCGCAGCTGGGTATGGAACCAGTTCTTCGTACTGGAGGAGTATACCGTCACGGAGCCCGCGTCCGTGGGCAAGGTACACGCACCACACGCGCATGATGATTAGTACACAGGTCCTGCATTCCGCCCCCCCCTCACCCCCCCTCACTCACCACCCCCACCCGCGATTCGATTCACGACTCGCACCTCTTCCTCTGTGGAGTTTGTCTGGTCTCTCTTTCTCTCTCTCCCCCTGGCCTGCAGATAGTGAATGAGTGAGTGAGAGGTGAGCGTTAGGGTGAGTGTTCGTGTGTTAGACTGAGTGAGAGTGCGAGTGAATGAGTGGAGTTTGTATTCTCTCCCCCTCCGAGTTCTCCATTATCCACCTGCCAAAACTAAACCCACACACACTGTGGAACTGGCATCGGTCAAACCCACTTCCCTACTGATGCTGAAAACGTACCTGTAAACTGGTAAATTGGGAATACACAGCAGCAGTAGCAACAGCATCGCTCCCTGGCACGACCAACCTGGCAGGACCCTCTTGAGAAGGAGACCACGTGAGCCTCTCCTAGGTGACCACGTGAGGCTCTCCTAGGTGACCACATGAGGCTCTCCTAGGTGACCACGTGAGCCTCTCCTAGGTGACCACTTGAGGCTCTCCTAGGTGACCACGTGAGGCTCTCCTAGGTGACCACGTGAGGCTCTCCTAGGTGACCACGTGAGGCTGTCCTAGGTGACCACGTGAGACTATCCTAGGTGACCACGTGAGGCTCTCCAAGGTAACCACGTAAGGCTCTCCAAGGTGACCACGTGAGGTTCTCCAAGGTGACCACGTGAGGCTGTCCTAGGTGACCACGTGAGACTATTCTAGGTGACCACGTGAGACTCTCCTAAGTGACCACGTGAGGCTCTCCAAGGTGACCACGTGAGACTATCCGAGATGACCACGTGAGGATCTCCTAGGTGACCACGTGAGACTATCCTAGGTAACCACGTGAGGCTCTCCTAGGTGACCACGTGACATTCTCTTAGGTAACCACGTGAGGCTCTCCTCGGTGACCACGTGAGACTATCCGAGGTGACCACGTGAGGCTCTCCTAGGTGGCCACGTGAGACTCTCCAAGGTAACCATGTGAGGCTCTCTTCGGTGACCACGTGAGACTATCCGAGGTGACCACGTGAGGCTCTCCTAGGTGACCACGTGAGACTCTCCTAGGTGACAACGTGAGGCTCTCCAAGGTAACCACGTGAGGCTGTCCTAGGTGACCACGTGAGGCTCTCCAAGGTGACCACGTTAGGTTCTCCAAGGTGACCACGTGAGGCTGTCCTAGGTGACCACGTGAGACTATCCTAGGTAACCACGTGAGACTATCCTAGGTAACCACGTGAGGCTCTCCTCGGTGACCACGTGAGACTATCCGAGGTAACCACGTGAGGCTCTCCTCGGTGACCATGTGAGACTATTCTAGGTGACCACGTGAGACTCTCCTAAGTGACCACGTGAGGCTCTCCAAGGTGACCACGTGAGACTATCCGAGATGACCACGTGAGGATCTCCTAGGTGACCACGTGAGACTATCCTAGGTAACCACGTGAGGCTCTCCTCGGTGACCACGTGAGACTATCCGAGGTGACCACGTGAGGCTCTCCAAGGTGACCACCTGAGGCTGTCCTAGGTGACTACGTGAGGCTCTCCTAGGTGACCACGTGACATTCTCTTAGGTAACCACGTGAGGCTCTCCTCGGTGACCACTTGAGACTATCCGAGGTGACCACGTGAGGTTCTCCAAGGTGACCACGTGAGGCTGTCCTAGGTAACCACGTGAGGCTCTCCTCGGTGACCACGTGAGACTATCCGAGGTGACCACGTGAGGCTCTCCTAGGTGGCCACGTGAGACTCTCCAAGGTAACCACGTGAGGCTCTCCGAGGTGACCACGTGAGACTATCCGAGGTGACCACGTGAGGCTCTCCTAGGTGACCACGTGAGACTCTCCTAGGTGACAACGTGAGGCTCTCCAAGGTAACCACGTGAGGCTGTCCTAGGTGACCACGTGAGGCTCTCCAAGGTGACCACGTGAGGTTCTCCAAGGTGACCACGTGAGGCTGTCCTAGGTGACCACGTGAGACTATCCTAGGTAACCACGTGAGACTATCCTAGGTAACCACGTGAGGCTCTCCTCGGTGACCACGTGAGACTATCCGAGGTAACCACGTGAGGCTCTCCTCGGTGACCATGTGAGACTATCCGAGGTGACCACGTGAGGCTCTCCTAGGTGGCCACGTGAGGTTCTCCAAGGTGACCACGTGAGGCTGTCCTAGGTGACCACATGAGGCTGTCCTAGGTGACCACGTGAGGCTCTCCTAGGTGACCACGTGAGACTATCCGAGATGACCACGTGAGGATCTCCGAGGTGACCACATGAGACTATCCTAGGTAACCACGTGAGGCTCTCCTCAGTGACTACGTGAGGCTCTCCAAGGTGACCACGTGAGGCTCTCCTAGGTGACCACGTGAGGCTCTCCTAGGTGACCACGTGAGGCTCTCCTAGGTGACCACGTGAGGCTCTCCTAGGTGATCACGTGAGGCTCTCCTCGGTGACCACGTGAGGCTCTTCTAGGTGACCACGTGAGGCTCTCCTAGATGACCACGTGAGGCTCTCCTAGGTGACCACGTGAGGCTCTCCTAGGTGACCACGTGAGGCTCTCCTAGGTGACCACGTGAGGCTCTCCTAGGTGACCACGTGAGGCTGTCCTAGGTGACCACGTGAGACTATCCTAGGTGACCACGTGAGGCTCTCCAAGGTAACCACGTGAGGCTCTCCAAGGTAACCACGTGAGGCTGTCCTAGGTGACCACGTGAGACTATCCTAGGTGACCATGTGAGGCTCTCCTAGGTGACCACGTGAGGCTCTCCGAGATGAAAACGTGAGGATCTCCGAGGTGACCACGTGAGACTATCCTAGGTAACCACGTGAGGCTCTCCTCGGTGACTACGTGAGGCTCTCCAAGGTGACCACGTGAGGCTCTCCTAGGTGACCACGTGAGGCTCTCCTAGGTGACCACATGAGGCTCTCCTAGGTGACCACGTGAGGCTCTCCTAGGTGATCACGTGAGGCTCTCCTAGGTGACCACGTGAGGTTCTTGAAGGTGACCACGTGAGGCTCTCCTCGGTGACCACGTGAGGCTCTTCTAGGTGACCACGTGAGGCTCTCCTAGATGACCACGTGAGGCTCTCCTAGGTGACCACGTGAGGCTCTCCTAGGTGACCACGTGAGGCTCTCCTAGGTGACCACGTGAGGCTCTCCTAGGTGACCACGTGAGGCTGTCCTAGGTGACCACGTGAGACTATCCTAGGTGACCACGTGAGGCTCTCCAAGGTAACCACGTGAGGCTCTCCAAGGTAACCACGTGAGGCTGTCCTAGGTGACCACGTGAGACTATCCTAGGTGACCATGTGAGGCTCTCCTAGGTGACCACGTGAGGCTCTCCAAGGTGACCACGTGAGGCTCTCCAAGGTGACCACGTGAGGCTCTTGAAGGTGACCACCTGAGGCTGTCCTAGGTGACTACGTGAGGCTCTCCTAGGTGACCACGTTACACTATCTTAGGTGACCACGTGAGGCTCTCCTAGGTGACCACGTGAGGCTCTCCAGGTGACCACGTGAGGCTCTCCAAGGTGACCACGTGAGGCTCTTGAAGGTGACCACTTGAGGCTCTCCAAGGTGACCACGTGAGGCTCTCCTAGGTGACCACGTGACACTCTCTTAGGTGACCACGTGAGGCTCTCCTAGGTGACCCCGTGCAGTCTCAATCACTGGACACGTGAGGTTTTCCTGTTTGGACGTGAGGATTGGTCATCTCACCCAACCCGTGAGGCTGAATCGATCACCAGGAATCATCACGTCGGGTGGTGGAGGTTCTTGACGACACAAACGTGGCCAGATCATCATCACCATGTGGCATTCCTCACTCGACCTCCAGAACAAATTGAGAATCGCCAACAAAAATGTGCGTAACCTTTTATGCGAGAATAATATAATATTTATTCATAATACTGTATTTAATATTCTATATTTTATGACATTTATTTATATAATATTTACTTTGTTCGATCTCTGCGGTGAGGTCATCGCGTGCCCCATCACCCGCCCACCGTGACCCCCCCCCCACCTCCTTCACACTCGTTAAGTTGGCGCGATATCCACGCGACCCCCCCCCCCACCGTTATGGTCTCATCAAATATTGAGCGCGGTTATTATTGGCGCGGTTACTCAGCCGCTGGCGAGTGGAGGGGACAGAGATGGGAGAGACAGGGAGATATAGGGAGACAAGGAGAGACAGAGAGAGACAGGGGGAGACAGAGAGAGACAGGGGGAGAGACACGTGGAGACAGGAAGATAGAGGCACACCGCGGGGAGAGACAGAGGGAGACAGGGGGGAGACACGGGGAGACAGGGAGATAGAGGGAGACCACGGGGAGAGACAGAGAGAGACAGGGGGAGAGACAGGTGGAGACAGGGAGATAGAGGGACACCGCGGGGAGAGACAGAGAGAGACAGGAGAGAGACACGGGGAGACAGGGAGATAGAGCGACACCGCGGGGAGAGACAGAGGGAGACAGGGGGAGAGACACGTGGAGACAGGGAGATAGAGGGAGACCACGGGGAGAGACAGAGAGAGACAGGAGAGAGACACGGGGAGACAGGGAGATAGAGCGACACCGCGGGGAGAGACAGAGGGAGACAGGGTGGAGACACGGGGAGACAGGGAGATAGAGGGAGACCACGGGGAGAGACAGAGAGAGACAGGGGGAGAGACAGGTGGAGACAGGGAGATAGAGGGAGACCACGGGGAGAGACAGAGAGAGACAGGAGAGAGCCACGGGGAGACAGGGAGATAGAGCGACACCGCGGGGAGAGACAGAGGGAGACAGGGGGGAGACACGGGGAGACAGGAAGATAGAGGGAGACCACGGGGAGAGACAGAGAGACAGGGGGAGAGACACGGGGAGACGGGGAGATAGAGGGAGACCACGGGGAGAGACAGAGAGAGACAGGGAGAGACACGGGGAGACAGGGAGATAGAGGGAGACTG